TCAGCATGCTGAAGGCATGGGATATCGTGAGCTTCTCGACACTCATCAAAGGAAGAAATCCAGATGGCATTTTTGATGATCGTGCCCACCTTGCAGAACTGGTTGCACTCCTAGGATGTCCACCACCTGACTTCCGTGCACGAAGCCATCTCATTTCTGTTTTCTGGGACGACTCCGGCACCTGGAAAGAACTAGCACCGATTCCTGATATCACATTCGAATCTTTAGCTGCCAATATCAAGGGAGAAGACAAGGACGGGTTCTTACGATGGATTCGACGGGCTCTACAATGGAACCCCTCTGACCGACCGACAGCTCTCGAGCTCTTGTACGATGAGTGGTTGATGAAGGAACTTGAATAAGGGAGACGAGAGAGAGCCACTAAACCTTGACTGGATCTTCCTTTTTTGCCTATCATCGGTGTAATCAGTTGTTGCTGTCCTTATTTCTGTACTCTGCTCACTATATTTCTTAGAGATGCTGAGTACTTTTGGGGTATTGCCTGGGCAGGGACTGATTTGGATTCAAGTAAAGTGCAGTAACTTACTACATGAGGTGGAAGTAGATTGCTTGAATAATTCAAAGATCCTGTTTGTAGATGGACACAGATTAGACCAAAGACAGGTGGGAATAGAAAGACCAACCCAGTCGAATTGAAGTCTTGCAAGGTTCGTCGGAATGATGATTGAAAATCCGACATGAAGTGGGCAGATAATGACATGTACAATGAATGAGTAAAAGATACATACTTAGTAGCCCAGCTAGTACTCGACAATGTACAGCCCATTTATGAAACCATCTCTCCTTATCTACAATTTTGCCTCCCGCTCCATGAGATATTGCGCAGGCCACACACCTGACTTGCCCGGCGCGAGGATCCCTTTCGGATCCAGCGCCTGTTTGATAACCTCGTGAACCTTCAGTAGACTGCCATTGTTCCAGTTGTAGGTCCCCATCACCTGGTCCATGACCGCCAGGTGGGTCCGGTACTCCCCCCAACCGCGTTCCGCACAGTCGGCAATCAGTCTTTTGATCAGAGTGAGCGCTTTGTTCCGCTCCACCGGCGAGGTTCTATCGTACACAATGCACACAATGTGGTCTGAAGGAAGTTAGATCCGGAGTACAAGGTAGGAGAGAAAGACAGGCGCGGGAATGAGGGGACAACTCACGCATCTCTCGCATCCCAACGGTGAAGGTACCTAGAAAGTCCAGGCCGACCTCTTGACACCGCTGCTTGGTCAGGAGATATTGCGCCATAGCGTCGTCCCCGGTCACTTTGGCAATCGGGGAGAAAAATAGATGGGCTCCGTTTGGTACCCAATTCACCCACTTGAGTTCCTCGTAGGTGGGGATCCCCTGCATCGTTAAGTGACGGATGCGCAGCACCGAGTTCTCCGGGGTCTCCTCCGGGAAATAGAATCCGGCTCCGGGTATTGTGGAGAAGGCCGCTTTGATGGCTGCCCAGAGAGTCTGGCGAATCGGTTCAGGTCCCTTTGGAGGTTTTTGCGGTAGGTCAGTTTCAGCACGACCTGGTCAACGAAGTGACGGGTGTAAGTTGGAGGATCGAGGGCAAGCAAGACCTACGTAGAGCGCCCCGTAAAAGTTCCACCGGCCCAAATTCAACTTCTTAGCAATCGCATCAAGCGTCTCGTCGGACAGCGGACCATCGATGTCAGTATACACGGTTCGAGGGGCCAGAACGGCAGCATCAAGCAGAATGTGGCGGATGGTGGGCACGTTCTGGAGGGTCATGGTGAGGCGCAAGGGCCGAATGATATCGACCGCGCGGTGCAGATCCTCGTCCCTGGGCAGGGTGATCAGATAGGACTGATACCCGCCGGGATTGGGCATGAGCCACATCCCAATCTTGGTGACCACACCCAGGTTAGACTGCGTGAACAGACCATCCAAATAGGGACCAAATCCGTAGGGGAACAGGGCGGCGGTCGGATTCCAGGGCTGGGTTTCGGGCTTCTTGGACTCAGAACCGCCACGGCTCTCGGGGTGCGGCAGGGCACCCATGCCCGTGCGCACCAGCTCTCCGGTTGGCATTACCACCTCCATCCCTGAGTGCATCATGTAGTGATCTCCATACGGGGTATATCCAACTCCCCGCTCCAGCATGTTTCCTAGGATCGACCCCCCACCGAGATCGGGGACATCAATCCATACTTTCTCACGCAGATTGTGCTGAACGAGGTAGTTATGCAGGTCATGGAAAGTGACACCTACATATCAGAGAAGGTTAGTCTGGGAGAAGAATTTATGCAGTTGGGACTCTCCCACCTGGCTCCACAATACAGTAGGCCCCAGCAACATTGACCTCCAGGATCCGATTCATATTCTTCCCCATGTTGAGGACGACAGATCCCCGAACCCGAGGGGCAGCACCCCCATATCCCGAGTTTCGACCAAATGAAACCGGCCACAGTGGGACTCGAAATTCATTGGCGAGGCGTACAATCGCTCTGATACGATCCAATTAGTCGGCGTATTGTACGTAGGGTCAAGGCAAGGGGGGGAAACAGTTGGTGGAAGACTCACTGAACATCTGCCACATCTCGGGGTGCGACGATAGCTGAGGCGAGGAAGGTGTCAGGAGCCAGAACAGGATGAGGGTCAACAGAATATTGAGGATTCATATATGACCCCGGATCTAATTGTTCCGTCGTGATCACATCGACGTTCCCCGCACCAACGACCGAGAGTACCTTGTCCAAAAAGATATTGAATATCTTGGCACTCAGCCCGGGAGGGAGTGCTAATGGTTCAAACATTGTGTATAGTTGATATCTGTGGATTGATTGATTGCTGAATGCTCATCCAGGCTGAACTCCTATGGTCGAACTGGTGGAGGTGATAAGCTCTGTTTCTATTCCATCGAAAAGTGAATAAGAGGAGGAACCGGGTAAATTGGAATGTGATGTAAGCATACTTGGGGGAACTAATGGTGAGAATGATGGCGCAGACATAACATCCGAATGTATAGGGTAGAGTCTTCATCGCCTACGTAACGTAGTGCAGTGCTGAAGATCAGCATCCTGTGGGGGTCGAAGCGGGGATCTGCCAGAAGCGGGGAGTGGGAATTTCCTGCTGCCCGCCACGGCTGCGATAGGCGGAGGAGGCATTAAGTTCCGGCCCAGTACCAAGGTATCTGGATACCGAGTCCGTAGAAACGCTGGAAACCGCTTAAGGATTCCGTTCCCGAGTGTGTCCAAGAAAGGTTGGTCATCTAGGTCCTGGCAGCGTATTATTAACTACTAGCTATCGACATGTAAGTGTGTTCTACGATTTCATAATTACAATTTCTCTTGTTGTGCGGATTGTGAAAGACTACCTAGTTTAGATCATTGTCAAGAATACCTATAACTACCTACTTCCTCTTATATACAGGTACTCATACCCTTTTTAATCGCTTCATCCCCCAAGCGTACCACTAATTTCCCATCCAGCTGATTGACCTGCCCCGCGTAATTGTTGAGGTCGACCAAGTCTATAAGTACAGTCCGCGGCTTTACCAGACCGCGGATGACAAATTGAACCGCCTCAAGGACATCCCGGCGATCCCCGGTGATGCTGCCGACGAATCGAATACCATAGTCAATCAGAGTGAGGGGGTGAAAGGAGACTTTCGACGTCGGTGGGGGGATCCCCACGGCCACTAGGACTCCGAAGTAGGCTAAGCACGGCAGGGCATCCTCGTACGCGGCGGCAGCCCCAGCACAGACAAGTACAGCAGCACAGAGATCACCGCCCGTAGCGCGAAGGAGATTGGTTCGGAGATCTGGCTCGGCCTCCTCATAGTCAAGATAGACATCAGCCCCCGCCTCCAGACAGATGGCTCTTTGTTGAGGGCCGCCCTCGCCGTCAATGGCCACCGTCCGATACCCCATGGCCTTGGCATATTGCACTGCCAGGGAGCCCACGCCGCCTGCTGCCCCAGACACACCGATCCACGATCCGGGAGTGACGTTGGCTACCTTGAGGGCCTTGTAAGCTGTTACCCCTGCGCACATGATCGGGGCCAACAGCTCGCTGGGACCCTCTTCAGGCAGAGGCACCAGGTACCGTTCCGGAACGACAGCATATCGCGCCAGTGTGCCGGCCACATCTCGGCCACTGAAGACCTGGGTGGTGCATCTGGTTTCGCCCGTCCCCGCGCTCATGCAGTTGGGACACGCGCCACAGGCATCGCGAATCCAGCCAATTCCAACTCGCTGGCCTACCGCCGCAGCTCTAGCTTCACACATGGCGCCTACGGCCACGATTCGGCCAATTCCCTCGTGGCCTAGGATGGTGTTACAAGGCCCGAGATGTCCGCGGGCGAGCGACAGATCGGTACCGCAAAAACCTGTCACTTCCAGGCAAACAAGGACTTCCCGAGGTTGGATGGTTGGAATAGTTGCGGTCGTTATTGTAAAGGTGAAGTCTGCTCCTTGCTGTTTGAAGATACTTAGTAGTGTTTTACCAATGCTCCTGAGGAGGGGGGCTATAAGTTGATAGGCTGCATACTTACATTTTTGAGAATCGCTACCGACTGCTCCGCCATTGTGGTTTCACGTATGACTTGATGCCCAAAGCTGGAAGCAATGATCGAATCGGAAGATATCTTAAGCCTTTCACCTGGAATACATATGAGGTTCATCTTTATGTTGTTCCGAGGCTGGGTAGTGGAACGGCATTTTCCCACTTCCGCCCCACCGAACAAGCCGTACAGACAAGGCGCGGGTGTGATTTTCCCGCATGGCTCCCGCCCCGCTGGTGGGGATATCCCGCCGCTAGTCCATCTACGTAGTATGAAAATCTATGATCCTTCTGCTATCCAATGCTTTCGGATTTCTTTCTTTGCATCTTCCTCTTCCCATTTCTGCCTTGGGTCTTTTTTGCCTATTTCAAGATAGGCATAGAGCACTCCGATTCACTGCAGTAGAACGGTGTGCGGCTACCATCAAAGCGTTGATTAGGGTTACAATGTTCTCTAACATCATCCGCTCGGAACAATGACATGGGGGAGACACAGTGACTGTCACCGATCCTCGAACCCTCACCGAGCTATGACCGGTCTCAGTGGCTACGGAGAATGACTTAGACGAGGCGGTACAGGCAGCCCGTGAGGCCTTCCCCATCTGGAAAGCCCGGCCTCTGGAAGATCGACAGCAATGTCTGCACCGGATAGCAGATGAGCTGGAGAATCGACAAGACGGGCTCCGTCCTATTCTTTTCCAAGGAGTCAGGCAAGTCGGTATGCGGATTCCCCCTTTGACCCTTGCTGTGTTAGGGGGCTGGCTAATAGAGGCCGGCGTTGCAGGAGATTCTGGCGAATATTGAGATTGACGATGCCTTGCGGTTCTCCTGTTTGATGGTAAGAACAAAAGAAAACAAAGACTCTATTTCTCTCTCTCTCCCAGAGCAAGATTAGAAAATTGGGGATTCAAGCCGCCCAGTCATGTCCCGATAAGATCGAATATGAGGCTGGATCCGTCCGAACTGTCTAAACGTATCCTCCGCTGGACGTGGTCGGCGCCATATGCCCGTGAAACCTCCCGCTGGTGCTGGCGGTGGTCAAGATAGCAGTGGCCCTGGTGATGGGCAACTGTGTGATCGTAAAGCCCTCCCCAATGACCCGGTACGCGACTCTGGAATTTGTCGAATATGCACTAGATCTCCTTCCCAAGGGGTTACTCCAGGCGCTAAATGGGGGCAACGAGATCGGGGCGCGCATGACCACCCATCCGGGCATCGGCAAGATCAGCTTCACCGATTTCACCGCCACAGGCTGCCGTATAGCAGAAAGCGCGGGGCGGTCGCTCAAGCGCGTGACCCTGGAGCTCGGGGCAACGATGCCAACATCGTCTGCGCTGATATCGAAGTGGACGAGGTAGCCGCCCGAGTGGCCCAGGGGTGCTTTTTCCATGCGGGTCAGATGTGTGGCCATCAAGCGAGTCTACGTCCACTGCGACATCCTGCCGCAGTTCCGTTCCGCCTTCATTGCTGCAGTTCAAAAGATCGTCGTCGACCGCGCGGCCGAGCACTCCCCGCTATTCAGCCCGCTGCAGAATCGCATGCAGTACCAAATTGTTCAAGACTTCTTCGCTGATAGCGCCAAACAAGCCCACACCTTCTCTGTGGGCGGCCCCGATCGCGACGAGGAACCGCTGCCGGGGCTGTACATTTCCCCAACCGCGGTGGACCGTCCGCCCAACAATGCCCGCATTGTCCGGGAAGAACATGTTGGGCCCAATATCCCCATTCTTGAGTGGTCCGACGAGGCCGAGCTCATCCGTCGCGTGAATGCCACCGAGAGCAGGTTGGGTGCCTGTGTTTGGGCGCTCGATATGGCGACGGCGAAGTGCATTGCACGCCAGCTGGAGGTCGGAACGGTATGGCTCAATAGTTTCGCGATCCCCCACCCCCATGGATACTTTTCAGGTTGGAAACAAAGTGGAATCGAAGTGAATGGGGACGTCAGGGTCTGCTTTCATACTGCCATACTCAAACCCTATAGTTTTACAAGTGAAGTTGAGAAACCATCAGTCACTCACTTCGTTCCTTGTTCGACGCCGCGGCGGACGCCGCTGAAAAAATGCGGATATTGGAACCCCAAATTGAGGGCGTCATATTCGCCGAGTGGTCATTCAATTAGTATGACGATATTTAAGAGACCCCAAAAGAAAGGTTTTAAATTTCAACGAAATCCTATTCAGATGTATCATCTTACGGTGTACCCATAGAATAGTCACATCAAAGCTTTATCTTTTTGTTAAAAATAGGCAGGCACCAATTTACTGGTTATGTTACCGTAACTTAACTTAGTTAGTTATGCCCCCGCCGCTTACTAAGTAGAAAGCGGCGCCCCCAAGTTAGCCTAGACCTAAAGCAGAAAAGGAAAGTGACTTGAATTCCCGTAGTGTTGGCCTGTCGGACTAAAGTACCTGTAGTACGTACAGTACACTGCCTTTCCACACCCTTTTCTTGGAGATCGTCATCATCACATTCAATCACCTTCTCCTCCCGCCTCCTCCCACTTTCAAATTTCCTACCTTCCTGCCTTGACTTTTGAGTCTTCCTTTCCTTAACTACAGTTCTTTTCACATATCATATCTTCCGCGCTATGCGCTAGGGTTCATACCTCACTCTTTCTTGTTTCTTTGATCGCTTCCCACTTCCAGACAACTGCTCCCTTACGGGTTAACTTGAAAGTCATGGCTGCCTCCGTTTTACCATTTCGCGACATCAATCTTCACGCTTCGTCCACTCACTATGCCTTCACTTCTCCCTCGTCACCTAATGCCCCTACCCTTGTTGTCGAGCGTCCAACCGGTGACTTGCGTCTCACAAATGGCACCCTTTCTGGTGCGAAGCGTATCTCTAGTATCGCTGGTATACTGGGCATCATCAAGTTGAAACTAGGTATGTTCACCGTCGCGCTATAGTTCTTGAGGGCTTGTTACTGATTGTACTAGACAAATACATCATCGTCATCACCAAGGCTCAGCCCATGGGCAGGCTACGTGGCCACATGGTATACAAGGTTGCGGCGACCGAGTTCCTCCCCCTGCGCGAGCGCCCTCTACATGATTCCGATGAAGATACATATCTGGCACTGTTGAAGGAACACCTTCGTACTGGACCCATGTACTTCTCCTACGCCCTGGACATCACCAACAGCTTCCAGCGTCAATCACAGAGTGATCTTAGCCTGCCTATGTGGAAGCGAGCGGATGACCGCTTCTTCTGGAACCGCTTCATACAATCCGATTTGATCGACTTCAGCCTTGGAGAACATGACACGACCGGTGTGCGGCTCGGCCCACAGCCAGGTGTTGATCCCTATATCCTCCCCGTCATGTTCGGCATGTTACGGATAACCCCGGCAAAGGTCAAGTCAACGTCGTTCACGTTTGCTCTTGTTACGCGGAGATCCAGATATCGTGGAGGCACAAGATATTTCTCACGTGGCATTGATGATCAAGGTCATGTCTCGAATTACAACGAGACCGAGCAAATTGTCATCCTGAATGACGCAACGGGTGGTCTTTCTGGTTTCGCCGGAGGTCAGTCTCTAGCGAAGGAGAAGTTAGGTGGTTCTGGCCAAGACCTCCAGGTAATGGCGTTTGTGCAAACCAGAGGCAGCGTTCCCGTGTATTGGGCCGAAGTCAACAATCTCAAGTATACACCGAAGCTTCAAGTCCGTGGGGTGGAGACTGCTGTTGATGCGGCCCGCAAGCACTTTTCCGAGCAGATCCGACTATATGGCGAAAACTACTTGGTTAACCTGGTGAATCACAAAGGTCGGGAAGAACGAGTCAAGAATGCTTACGAGCAGTTGGTCCGTATACTAGTGTCGTCCTCTACCGAACACACCGAGGCAGATGACGCAACATCGGAAAAGCTGCACGCTGTTGAGCCCGGTCTCAGACAAAACGAGATGGATAGATTACATTATATCTACTTCGACTTTCACAATGAGACGAAGGGACTCAAGTGGCATCGTGCAGAGCTGTTGCTAGATCGGTTGATGGACGGACTCACTCGGGGTGGCTATTTCCGGGGAGTGGAAGACCCTGGTGTCCCTGGTGGACAACTGGACATCCGATCCTCGCAGACCAGCGTCGTCCGGACCAACTGCATGGACTGCCTTGATCGCACAAATGTGGTGCAGAGTATGCTCGGACGGTGGGCCATTACGCGTCAGCTCATCGATGCTGGAGTTTTACGCCCAGGAGAGGCTGCAAACGACGACCGTGAGTTCGAAAATCTCTTCCGCAATATCTGGGCCGACAACGCGGACGTGGTCTCAAAATCCTACTCTGGCACGGGCGCACTCAAAACCGATTTCACTCGCACAGGAGAGCGTACCCGCGCAGGCATGTTGCAGGATCTGAACAATTCTATTACACGCTATGTGCGAAACAACTTCTTGGACGGTCCCCGACAAGATGGCTTTGATGTGTTCCTGGGTGCCTATCTCCCTCCTGACTCTACACTGGGTAGCCTTCAGCTCTTCCTCGATCGCCGACCGCTCATCATCCAGTCAATCCCATACATCTTTGCTGCTGGGGTTTTTATGATCCTGGTCTCAACCTTCACAAGACGCCTACCAGACTCCACTGTGTGGCCACTGCGCTTGTTCGTTATCTTCTGGCTTGTTGTCAGCGCCTGGTGTGCCCGATTTATACTTGCCCATGGGATGCTTTATGTAAGTCTTGGTGCTACACCTTCCAATGTGGTCTTCGGTACTAACGCAAGCACTCCAGGTAAATTGGCCAAAATTAAACACACCCGCAGCTGGCTCTGAAGGGTATCAAGATGCGCTTATCAAGGCTCGCACGGATCCGATCATCGGCCAGTGGCTTCCTGTCAGAAGACACCAGCGAGGCTACAGCAACGCAAGGCTGGTTTTTTTGGAGGAAGGAAAAACAAGGATCGAGTAGTCCCTGAATAGGCCTTTTATTGCACTACTTCTTGCGCTATATTTTATAGAATATTTACTTGTCTACCTTTCTTTAGTGTATATCTAGCCACACACGTCTTCTACCCGTTACATCCACACCCTGCTTACACTTTTCCATGCTTCAATAACACCTTTTAGTTACACCTTGCCTCTGCCAAACTAGAATCATTACCAGCAACACTTAATTGTCAAGTTTGAAGTTTCCCATTGCACTTCTCACATGTAAGAATCAAGGTGTAAGATTGTTTCGTGGATAATGATTTGAGATGTCTATCTATTATTCACGTGACCTTATCGGGAGCCCGAACTCGGACCTACCGGCGCTTGATGACACTACTCCGACTGCGTGTAGGCAAGTACGGCGTTAAAAATAAGTCCCTCAATTAGTCGATGCGCAACAGCCCTCTTGCACGTGAGCAGTGACTGACTTGACCCTGATGAGGGGCTTTCGCAAACTTCCTACCTGCTTTCACTTTCATTTCACTCGCCATATATCATCCAGTTCCACCATTATGTCTCGCAATTATGAGGCAGGTTTCCCCGCAGGCATTTGTCCGCAAGCCACTGGGCGTCAAGTCTAACGATTCGGTGCAGGCTGCGATTGCAGCTCTGAACTCACTGCAAACCAATTTTGCAGTTGTGGAAGAGTTACGCAAGTCACGGAAAGATATGAACCTGTTGTCCATTCCAGAAACTGTTGAGTGGCTTCGTCGCATTGGATATCAGGTCCGCGTGCTCCCCCGCATTATGTTGTCAAGCTCCAGTGTTGACTCCGTTCCATTTTTGGTCCATAGCCCTCGGATCTAAGCTGTATCAATCCTGTACATGTCGCCGGCACGAAGGGCAAAGGCTCCACTTCGGCTTTTATCGCATCGATTCTGTCACAGTACACTGCCTCGCAGCTATCTGACACGGACTCAACCTCGCGATCCCTCAATAAGGTCGGGCTCTACACCTCACCTCATCTGCGCTTTGCTAGAGAGCGTATCCAAATCGACAATGCACCGCTCTCGGAGGAGAAGTTTGCCAAATACTTTTTTGAAGTGTGGGATCGTTTGGAAGAAGCTGCTCGAGTAGCCGGCGAAGATCCTGCGAATCTTAGAACGAAACCTCAATACTTTCGGTACTTAACATTGATGGCATTCCACACTTACATCAGTGAAGGAGTCGATGCTGCGGTTATTGAATGTGGAATCGGCGGAGAGTACGACTGCACCAACGTGATTCAAAAGCCAGCTGCGACAGCCATCACCAGCCTGGGCATTGACCACGTTGCTATGTTGGGAAACACTATTGAGGAGATCGCATGGCATAAAGGTGGCATCATCAAATCTGGCACCAAAGCTTTCAGCGCCCCTCAGCCTCCGTCTGCTGAGAAAGTCCTGCTCGAACGTGCTGCCGAGAAGGGAACCTCGCTGGAAATCGTGAGGGGCCACCCCGAGCTCAAGACTGATGGAGGCGTGAAACTCGGATTAGCTGGTGACTTCCAATATACAAATGCGGCAGTGGCAGTTGCAACAGCGGCTGAATTCCTTCGGACTGTCGGCATTGGGGAGTTGCCGTCAGACATCCTGCAGGAACCCTTACCAGCAAAATTCCGCAAGGGCCTGGAAGAGGCCCGTCTAGGCGGTCGTTGTGAGACACGCACTGAGAAGCGCATCACCTGGTACATCGACGGCGGCCACACACTTGAAAGTATTAGATTGGCTGGCCAATGGTTTGCATCTCAGATCCGGGCGAACTCTTCATCTGCTGCAGTTGCGCAAAAGAAGCAGCGGGTCTTGATCTTCAACCAACAGACCCGTGATAGCAATGCCCTGGCCCAGGCTCTTTACGAGACTTTGGCTGCGGCGTTGGGCTCGGAGCAACCATTTACTCACGCGATCTTCTGCACCAACGTCACCTACAAGGCTGCCGGTTATCGACCCGATCTTGTCAGCATGAACACAAATGCGACGGATGTGGAGAAACTGCATGTCCAGAACAGTCTTGCCGACACATGGCGGTCCATTGACCCTCGCACTGAAGTCAAGGTGTATAGCACCATTGAGGAAGCTGTCGACTTTACTCGGGAGCTCGCTATGAAAGAAAAGGACCTTGTAGGTCAGGATGAAGCTCCTGTAATGACATTCGTTACTGGTAGCTTGCACCTGGTTGGTGGCTTCTTGGATGTGATTGAGACCAAGCCTGCTCCCCAGTAAGACCTGCGTTATGCCTGCCTCACCATGAGGTTTCAACAACAAAATTGGTGATACCCAGACAAAGCAATTATGCCTTGTTTATGCTCTATTGTTTGACTATTTTTATATTATGATAGATTTAGGAGGCGTTGTTTAGTTAAAATTCAACAAGGAAGCTTAGATTCCCACAGATATTAGGGAGGAGCAATTGACTAGACTTCACTGCGACAAAGTCATATAGTGAGTAAATACCGATGGGCGTACCTGTAGATATGCACCCCGCAAGCGCAACTTAGGGACGGACGGCTACTTTGTTAGATGAACGTGGGGCGGGCTTAGAAAACCTTCCCGCACCCACTTCTTGTCTGTTCGCGGTCTCCGATCCGACCATCGAACTTCCACGTGTTTCAAACCGCGCCAGCTGCCATGCCAGACTCCAAGGATAAGAAGGGCAAAGCCGCCCAGGCGTCCAATGATGAGGTCAGTTTTCCTCTTCATCCTAGCTAATCTACCGTCTCAACAACTCACCCGGATTGTCTTAGGATGCGGCGAAACAGAAGTTGACCCCCAAAGCGGCCGAGGCGCTGCTGGAGAATAACCCCGCCCTGAAGAACGAGCTGGCCGGACTCGACAAGGATAAGGCCGCGGAGGCCCTGCGCAAGATGGATATCTCCGAGCTCTTGACTGGTCTGGCTGTTGGAGGCAAGAACCAGAAAGATATGGCCTCGTACAAGTTTTGGCAGACCCAGCCTGTGCCTCGTTTCGATGAGGCCGCCGCTGCCGCCAACGATGTCGGTGGGCCGATCAAGATGATCGATCCAGAGAAAGTGTCGAAGACCCCCGATCCGCTCATCGAAGGCTTCGAGTGGGCTACACTGGACCTCACGAAGGAGGAAGAGCTCCAGGAGCTGTGGGATCTGCTCACCTACCACTATGTCGAGGACGACAATGCCATGTTCCGCTTCCGATACTCGAAATCATTTCTACACTGGTTCGTGCACTGTCCAAGCCACGACTGGATGTATTGATACGGGAGGGCTGACGATATATTTCATATAGGGCGCTAATGGCACCGGGCTGGAAGAAGGAATGGCACGTCGGAGTTCGCGCTACCAAGTCGCGGAAGCTTGTCGCCGCTATCTCCGGTATCCCAACCGAGTTGCGCGTTCGCGAGCAGAAAATCAAGGTCACCGAGATCAACTTCCTCTGCATTCACAAGAAGCTGCGATCCAAGCGTCTTGCACCGGTTCTCATTAAAGAGATCACTCGCCGTTGTTATCTCGAGGGGATCTTCCAGGCCATCTATACCGCGGGTGTGGTGCTGCCAACTCCCGTCAGCTCATGCCGGTACTACCACCGTCCTTTGGACTGGCTTAAGCTGTATGAGGTCGGATTCTCGCATCTGCCCAAGGGCTCGACCAAGGCCCGACAGATTAGCAAGAACCACCTCCCGAGTGTCACGTCTACTCCTAACCTCCGCCCCATGGAAGTTAAGGATATTGATGCTGTCCACGAGCTCCTGGAACGCTACCTGAAGCGGTTTGACTTGAACCAGGCCTTCTCCCGCGAGGAGATCGAACACTGGCTCGTGCACAAAGGAGGGGAGGCCGACCGGGAACAGGTGGTTTGGTCTTACGTGGTGGAGGACCCGGAAACCCACAAGATTACCGACTTCTTCTCCTTCTACAACCTGGAATCTACCATCATTCAGCACCCCAAGCATGATTGCCTGCGCGTAGCTTACCTTTATTATTATGCCACCGAGACGGCCTTCACTGGTGATATGAAGGCGCTCAAGGAACGGCTCCTCATGCTCATGAATGATGCCCTGATCCTGGCGAAGAAGGTACGTCAAATTGTTGCTCGCTCGATATTATTTTCAAATACTGATATTCTCCCCGATAGGCTCGTTTTGATGTGTTCAATGCTCTTACCCTCCACGACAACCCTCTCTTCCTGGAGCAGCTCAAGTTCGGGGCGGGCGACGGTCAGCTTCACTACTACCTCTATAATTACCGGACGGCCCCCATCGCCGGTGGTGTCAACGACAAGAACCTGCCGGATGAGAAGAGAATGGGAGGTGTCGGTGTTGTCATGCTGTAGAGTCCGGTACTCTCACATGTTTGTTTCGAAATACAGTACCAAATCAATGGGTGGTGTTCTGTGGCCGGATAAGCAAGCGGCTAGTCAAAGTCTAGTCAAAGTCAAAGTCAATTGTGACACGACGAATGTGAATACTATTAGTTCAATTTGAGATATATACTCTAGAGGGAGTACAAGCTTGATTCTTGAAGTATAGGAACCAGGAGCAGTATACCTAGTACAAGTTATACACGGGACTGGTTAACCCAAAATGGCAAGAACCCTGCTGGCCGTGAGGGGCCGAGGCCCTTCAACTTAACTGGAACTTCAGGTTGTTGCTTTAGCCCGCATGCGGAAACATCCTTAATTAACCTACCTCTCCCTCCCCTCTCCCCTTCATCATCATCATCATCATCAACACCACACTTGCTCATGCCCCTGATCATGGTATAGCATTTGACAGACAGTTTAAGTCTTTCGTCTATACATCCGTATTGATTCAAGTTCTACTTCCGCGTTCTTAGTCCCGCAGATGATAGCGATCGTCACCCCGACTCATCGCGGTGGGTTCACGTCGTCATCACTGCGGAGTGTCCCGAACTCATACTATCAGTGCTAATGCTACAGCTGTCTCTTAATTATCTTGCCTACTCCTGCAACCCTGGTACATTTC